ACCGCCATCTGCCTTTCTAATTTCTAATATGATAAAGCAACACCACGTCACCATCACGCTACTCCTTTGAAGATTTAAAACCCGCGCGCCGCCATGCCACTTCCTTCATTATAGCCGTTGAAATGCACCGCCATTCTCCTCCTCGTATTTTTATTTTAAACATTGATGAATCCCGGCCATATCCTTTTGTTATAGCCGCGGGGAGACACCGCATCACCGCCACGCTGAACCTTTTGTAATAGCTGTCGAGAAATCTCACCGCCTTATTTCTACTGTTTATAGCCTCTCAAACGTCCACACAGAGAAAACCCCAAATTGGAGAGTAGAGGAGAGGATTGAGATCCGAATAGTGCTTCTTACGGGCGGACGACTGGTTTCTTCAATCGAGAAAGGGAACGAGATCAAACCAAGGGGGGCTTCCTTGAAATCGAAAGCCATTATACGGTATGCCTAAGTCTTTGGATTAATTTTCCAATTCTGTGTGTGATTTTCAAAATTTAATCTTCTGCATATCCTTCGTCTAGGATTTTAAAACCTTGATTTGATTCTCAAAATTTCTATTGGGGTCCGTCTAAGGTTTGTTGAATACTCGAATCACAACCCTGACGCAAATTAACGAAACCTCTGGTATTGGGTTCGCTTACGATTTCTCGAATCAACGAAACCTTATTTGAACCCTGAAATCCTTTTGAGTGAGGCTAATTTGGGATAACGTATGGCATGAAACCTAATGTTTTATATTCCAGATTTGTGTTTCCGGTTTGGGCATCTTTTGATGTCTTTTAAGTTATCTTCTGGTTGTTAACTCAGATATTATGATTCAATACTTCTTTCTATCCTGGATCCGAGTAGCTTAATGGTTGGTTGGACTTGGTTCTGCTGAAAATATTGGTGGGCATAGATGAAGTCATTCTTCCTTGAAACCAGTAGCTATTATGGCATTATGTGTATGGTTTACACTAGAAAGCAACTTGTTGCCCGGTCAACAACCAATTAACCATACATGATAGGGAATGACTTCTTTTCTATGCATGTGTAGCTTCTTGTATTGTATTCAAGTGCTTTTTGTTCACCCATCATGCAGATATGGCTACTGGCTTCTAAGCAATAGTAGCTCCCAGTAAAAGGTGGCAACAGATGAATGCTATTGCTCACCCACAATAGTCTGATGGCTAGTGGCTGCTAACAAGTAGTTCCTAGTAGATGAATGTGACGAATGGCTACTGGCTACCAACATGTAGCTCCTAGTGGAAGGCAATACATGACTACTGGCTGCTAACAAGTAGCTCCCAGTGGACCAATGCAACGGATGACTGCTGGCTACTAACTCCTAGTAGATGAATGTGACGGATGGCTACTGACTACCTATTGACTTGTAGCTCCTAGTAGTAGAACGCTTCATATGGATACTGGCTACCACCATGTGCTCCTAGTAGAAGGCAATACATGACTACTGGCTACTAACAAGTAGCTCCTAGTAGACCAATGCGACAGATGACTACTGGCTACTAACTCCCAGTACATGAATGTGACAGATGGCTACTGACTACCTATTGATGTGTAGCTCCTAGTAGTAGAATGCCTTATATGGCTACTGGCTACTAGCTACTAACAAGTAGCTCCTTGTGGATGAGCATGATGGATGGCTATTGGCTACTAACATGTAGCTCCTTGTAGATGAACACGATGGATGGCTATGGGCTACTAGCTACTAACATGTAGCTCCTAGTAGTAGAATCGATGGATGACCATTGGCTACCTGCTGACATGTAGCTCCTAGTGGTAGAATGCCTCAAAATGGCTACTGGCTACTGGCTACTGGCTACGAACATGTAGCTCCTAGCAGAAGAAGGTAATAGATGGCTGCTGGCCACTAACAAGTAGGCAAGTAGCTGCTTGTCGCTTGTAGAAAAATGAAACAGATGGCTACTAACTACTAATAGGCAGCTCCTAGTAGTAAAATGTGATGGATGGCTATTGGCTACCTACTGACATGTAGCTTGTAGTAGAAAGAACAACGCAACGGATGGCTACTGGCTACTAACATGTAGCTCTTAGTAGATGAATGTGACGGATGGCTACTGTCCCAGTAGTAGTATTGGATGGCTTATGCATTGGGACCTACTTTTTGGTACTGGTACAGGAACTGCATTAGACATTTAGAATAACCTGTGTATATGCCTTTTGGCTAAGTTTTCTGCATAGAAGTTTCGCTAACTTTTTTCATATGCTGGCTGATAAAAAAAAAAGCTTTTCTTATGCTGGACTTACAGAAATGCCTCCCATGTTTTAATCTCCCACTGTTGAGTGTCTTTGACTCTTTGTTGCTTTTACATATCCACTACAAGCAGTTAGTAGACTTTCTTTTATTATCTCCCATGTTTAGTTTCACTAACTTTATTCATATGCTGGCATTACAAAAATGCCTCCCATGTTTTAATCTCTCACTGGTAAGTGTTAATCTCCCAGTGGTAACTATCTATGTTGCTTTTACGCATGCTCTAAGAGAAGTAAGTAGACTTTCTTTCTTACCCTCCAGGTTGTGTGATTCACTTGGTTGTAATAAGTAAATTTTGTTTTTTTTAACCTTCTCTCTTAGCATTTCAATGTTTGTGATATGGTTATGGTTCCTCCTCTATTAACAGTTTACAGACGATGATCTTCATTATTTGTTTTAGCTGTTAGATGTGTTTGTTGACGTGGTTAAAATTTTCTTTTGATGAGTCTTGGGAAGAGAATTAAATGTTTCTTGTTAAATGACCATTAACTGGGAAGATTTCTCTTTTCTTTCTACGACCATTAACTGGGGAGATTTCTCTTTTCTTTCTCTAGCCTTCTGCTATTTCTCTTTTGTTCCAAGACAGTCAGGAAATTTAGATCTTTGAGCTCTGTTTTTCTGGATTTTTATCAAGCTGTTTTATACACCTTGAAAATTTTATCAGCTTAATATTGAAAAATGTTTAACAATTGTTACTGGATATGAAGACTTCACGTTTTTTGTTTGTAAATTGGTTTAGGTAATCTTGTTTGTTTTGTCTGGAGATATATTTTTAAATATTTTGCCGGTCTAAGCAGTTTGTAGGTCACTTTCCTTGTAGTTTTGGAATTCTCTACATTGTGTGTTATGCAATGCTATAGCTAAATCTAATTAGAAGTACAGTTGATGGGAGATATTCGGTGGCTCTTGTCTTGCAGGACATGTTCTTCCAGGTATTACTTTCTCAGCACTAGAAGCTTTACTTTGGCCTTCTTTTTGATGATATATCCATCACCTTGGTCTTATTTTGAAGGCAGTTTGACTTCATGCATGCATCGATACATTTATTCCTTTTCACCTTCCTTTATTCCTTTATTATTTATTCATTTATTCGTGAATTCACACTTAGTTACGTAATGTTGATCTGCCTTTGAATTGATTGTGGTCCTGCCGAGTGAGTTTATTTTTAGGTTTAGTTGTTAGTGGTTGTTTGGGGTTCGGGGTTTTGTAAGCTAGCTGAGAAAAAAAGGAAATGTTATAGTTTCCTGCTTCTTCTACATATTTTTGACAAGTTAAAAGCTTTCATTCCTAGATATTATATGTTATTTTTCTCGAAAGGTGTTTTTAGTTTGTTTCAACTTCTGCAGTTTGGCAGCTTTGTTTTTTGTTTGGCATTGCAAGGGACCATTGTTGACCAAAGTGATTGAGGAAAGCTTGCTCTTTTTAATCACAACTGTTGATGATTTTGATCTCCGTTTTTTGTGGTGGTATGTTTTGACTTCATTTTGTAATTGTTTTTAAGATGCTAATAAGTCAACAATTGGAGGACAGATATTCTTCTTCAGTGGCCAGGTTGATGATCGTGCAATCCAAAAATATGAGGAAGAAGCAAAGGAAAAAAGGTAGAGAAAGCTGGAAAGACTTTAATTTCATTCTTTATTCTTTAAATGGAAAATAGATGCTTTTCTTATGATACAAACTATTTGCTTAAGACAATGATAAACACCAGTCAAATTGATTGTGTTGTTTGGTTGCTAAGAAAATAAGAAAAGAATATGTAAGAGCGTGCTTGGGTGTAGGTTTCGAAGTCAAACATTGCCTGCCTTTTTAGTCTTCTATTCTATCAACTGGTGGGATGTAACTTGTCTCCTTATTTTTTGGTGGAAGTCTTTGGGTCTTGATCTATTTGTTGGATTTAACTTTGCTGGTTAACTCTGTTTTTTGATTTAATTCATTAATTTTGTCAAATTTGCTTGTGGAATCGTTGGAATTGGATTCTTTTTTAGGGATTGTAAGAAGAATCAAACTTGGTATGTATGGTCCAATTTAGCTTTGGTGTTTAGATTTGAAATACCTTGCTAAATAAGACTTAGCATGCCGTCTGCCATGGGCATTTGGTTCAGTTAAATATGTTATATATAGTTGCTATAAATTATCCATTTGTTTATTCTTATGGTGGGGCTGATCTTTCTTGGTTTGCAATAAGCAGGTGGTTAATGGATTCTTCTGAGGATAGGGAGGCTGCTCATTCAACAGTTGGTGTATACTGTCTCTCTCCCTATCTATCTCTGTTTTTCTTTTTTATTTATTTTCCTCTCTTTTTCTAAGGATTTCTGTTAGGCTCTGACGATCTTGATCTCATAAGTTTCAAAGTTTAATTGTTTTTAGTACCTTATCTTTGTTTCTCATTAGTTTCTTACATTGGCCTTTTGGTCTCTTCACAAAAACTTATGCTGTGTTTCCCTTTAACCCTTAGACTCTGCTTTTCTATAATGGATTACAAGGGGGCATAATCGGTAACTAGCTTGTGATGAATCAGTTTTTTACATAAGATTATAATTTTTCTGTGGTTGGTAATTCATAGCCTGAGAACTTACTTTCTGCTGGATGCTAATGGAGTTCTTAAGAGTTTCTGATTTTGGTTTGAGTGCTTTACATGAGCAAGTTTGAGTGAGTGTTCAATCTTTGTCTTACTACACTTTTCTTCCCATTTAAGTAATGAATATCATCCCCACATCTTATATGGGTTAAGAAGACCTACAAGACTGCAGACTGATTATCATTCAACCTTACATCCAGTATGACTGTATCTTTTTCTGTAAATGAAATTAGCTTTTTGCCCAAGTGGCATGTTTGTTGTTCAATCCTGTTTTGAGCATGTATTTTATTTGTTGCAAAAGAAAATTGGAGAATTATTATCTTATCCCTTTAATTCAGGATTATGGGTTACTTCACATGACATGTGGTACACTGAATTATGTTGCTTCTGAGGTATATTGGTTTGCATGTTTGTTTGGAAAGTTGCTATCCTTGACTTAACTGATTTTTTTTTTTTTTTTT